CACTCCCTCAGCACTGACCCTCCGACAGTGCCCACTCCCTCAGCACTGACCCTCCGACAGTGCCCACTCCCTCAGTACTGACCCTCCGACAGTGCGGCGCTCCCTCAGCCCTGACCCTCCGACAGTGCGACGCTTCGTCAGCACCGAAACTCCCACAGTTGTATCAGCAGTTTGCAAGGGGTTTGTTTTGTCTCCAGCAGCTCTTCAATGATAAACTGAACAGTTGAAATGTCAAGTTCGCTGCTTAATGACTTGACTGTCAGTTGTGGGCAGGCATTTCCCGTTTAAGATGCTTTGTAGAGTAGACGGATGTGCACATTGAGAGAGAGAGAGAGAGACAGAGAACAGAGGAGACAGCTAGTTCCCAGTGCAGCGAGACTCTCTTAAAGTCTCTCTGTAAACTGCAAGTTATCGAGGGTAGACAAGAGGAGCGTGCCAATGTGGGGAGTCAACTATTCAACACAGTTCCAGGCTACAAGACGGTGAAATTCACCGCCCTTCAGTTTCCTGCCCGGAACAGGGTCCTGGTGGATTTCATTTAACGGAAAACTTTTCCCTGTTGAACTTCCAGCCCGTCTGAACATCGAAAGTAAGTCCTTCCTCCTTCTCATCAGCCCTTGCTTTTCCTGTGATCCGTCTCTCACGACCCTAATTAATCGCAGAGCATTGTTCGCTCTCCATCGACGAAGGCTGCTCGAGTCTGCAGGATCGGGGGCATCTCGTGGCGGAGAGCAAAACGGTGTGGGTTTGCGGTGGGCCAGATTTTATCTTGATTAAGAGGGGCTGAATGGCCTGCGTGCGTGCTCTGCAGTCACATGTTGTCCAGCCTGTTGAAGGACAGCAGATTTCCGACCTTATAATGGGTTTTTGTTGAACTTGGTGGAGTATGCACTGCAGATCCTCTGTAACGCAATGCTCTAAATCCCTAATAATTTCTGAGATCCTCAACATTTACCCCGACGGGGATTTGAAACCGTGAGCCTGAAATGTTAGCCTGGATCTTTAAAAATCTCCCAGTGCTGAGGCACAGCTCCAATCTGTTGCCACGTACCCATGCTCTGTTCCTCTCCACCCTCATGGGTAAACGTGGGAGAGTTAACCACAGAAAGCACCAGTGGTGGTGGGAGTGAGGGGGAGTTCTCCACCTCTCTGCGATGGCCAGGAGACAAAACCTGACCAGCCCCCCTCCCCAGTGCCACCTCACGAGGGAGAGGAGAGACAGTTATTTAGTGCTGCAACTCGTTGGAGCTCCCTGTGCACAAATTGGCTCTGGGGGAAAATAGAAAGGAAGGAAATGTAGGGCACATCGCTCATTCGAAATGTACGAAAGTCAGCTTGTGCAGAGAATGTTGCTAATGTCCATTCATAACACCTGGTAAATATTCAGTTTCCCTCAGCACTGACCGTCCGACAGTGCAGCGCTCCCTCAGCACTGACCGTCCGACAGTGCGGCGCTCCCTCAGCACTGACCGTCCGACAGTGCCCCACTCCCTCAGCACTGACCTTCTGACAGTGCCCACTCCTTCAGCACTGACCCTCCGATAGTGCGGCGCTCCCTCAGCACTGACCCTCCAACAGGCGGTGGTCCCTCAGTACTGACCCTCCCACAGTGCGGCACTCCCTCAGTAGGGAGGGGATAATGCGTGTTCAGCTCCTTCAGTTTGAAATGTGAGTAAAATTTCCCCTCATTACCCCCAGTCCATCACAATGCATTGATGAATAGGATGAGATGGGGATTCCATCAGAGGACCTGGTCTTCCATATCTGAGCAATAATTATTACCCCTGTCCCTAATTACCCCTTGAAAAGGTAGCCTCGAGCTGTGGTGTACCTGCGGGTCTTTTACCCTCAGCATTGTTACAGAGGGAAAGGCAAGGTTTTGGCCCAATGATGTCGATGTAGCATTAGGGCCGAGTGAGGCGTTTGGAACTTTACTGCCAGGAGTTTATGAACTAAGTTTATAACATCTCGTTTTCACCGATTAAACTCCATCAAATTTCAACAGGGATGTTGACATTTGCACAAGGCTTTCGCTAAGGTCCCAGGCAGTGGGTCCCCACACAAAAATTAAGTGGCGTGAAATGGATTGAATTATGTTTGGAAACTGGAAATAGATAGCAGCAATAAATAGGTCAGCTACAGGATATTGGAAGTTAACCAGACTGATTCCTGGGACAGCATGGCTGATATGTGGAGAGAGACTGGATCAGTTAGGACTATATTCATTCGAGTTTTTAGAAGAATGAAGGGAATCGCAGAGAAACCTATAAAATTCTAACAGGACCAGACAGGGTCAATGCAGGAAGGATGTTCCCGATGACCCGGGGAGTCCAGAACCAGGGGGTCACAGCCTAAGGATTACAGGGAGGGCCATTTAGGACTGAGATGAGGAGAAATGTCTTCACCCAGAGAGTGGGGAACCTCTGGGATTCTCTGCCACAGAAAGCGGTTGAGTCCAAAACATTGAATGTTTTCAGGAAGGAGTTGGATATGGTTTTTACAGCTGAAGGGATCGAAGGAGAGAAAGCAGGAACAGGGGACTGATCAAAGTGATCTATAAAATCATGAGGGGCATGGATAGGGTGAATAGACAAGGTCTTTTTCCCCAGGGGAGGGTAAGTCCAAAACTTAGAGGGACATAGGTTTAAGGTGAGAGGAGAAAGATTTAAAAGAGACCTGACAGGCAACTTTTTCACACAGAGGGTGGTGCGCGTATGGAACGAGCTGCCAGAGGAAGTGGTGGAGGCTGGTACAGTTACAACATTTAAAAGGCATCTGGATGGGTACATGAACAGGAAGGGTTTAGAGGGATAGGGGCCAAATGCTGGCAAATGGGACCAGATTAACTTCGGATATTTGGTCAGCATGGACGAGTTGGGCCGAAGGGTCTGTTTCCGTTCTGTACGACTCCATCGGCCATGATTGTATTGAATGGAGGAGCAGGAGCAGGCTCATGGGCTGAGTGGCCTCCTCCTGGTCCTAGTTTCTCTGTTATGTATTTGGGACACTGCAAGGATCAGGGCTTGTGTCCCAAATGCTTTCCCAATGATTTGGATGGGAGCACGTACCGCATTTCTCATTTTCCCCAAGACTTTGGGAGTGTCCCATTGGGAATGAGAGATGTCAGGACAGCGCGTGAGGCTTCAAGTGGGTTGGGGAGTGGGGGGGGGGTGGGTGTGGGGTGGTGGGGACCGTGCGGGTGGGGGAGTGGGGTTGGCAAGAACAGGAGGAGGTGTCACTGTGGAATGTTGTGAAGCTCTTCGCCCTTTGGTGGGGGTAACAGGGTGGTTATCTGAGGCGGGAGTGAGAGGGTGGGGAATGTTGGGGTCTAAAAGGGGGCTTTGGCTGCCCTTGTTCAGAGTCACTGAGGGGTCAGCGCTTGCAAGCTAAGAGGAAGGCAAATGAAATTGCCAGACACTTTCAGTGCAAGAGCGAAGAAGACTTGCCGCTGTTGTACAGAACCTTGATGAAGCAGCTCCTGGATAACGACGTCTGTTTTGACACCACACCCCAACACCCTGCTCCCCCCGCCACCCCGTCTCAGACTTGCCACAGAAAATGTGTGTTGGTGGTCCGCCAGAATAATCCATGAGACTGTCATAGAGTCACAGAGGCACACCGCACAGAATCAGACCCTTCAGTTCAACGCGTCCATGCCGACAAGATATCCGAAATTAATCCAGTCCCATCTGCCATCGTATCCTCTAAACCCTTCCTATTCATATACCCATCCTTTTAAATGTTGTCATTGTACCAGCCTCCACCACTTCCTCTGGCAGCTCGTTCCACACACGCACCACCCTCTGCGTGAAAAAGTTGCCCCTCAGGTCCCTTTTAAATCTTTCCCCTCTCACCTTACACCTATGCCCCTCTAGTTTTGGACTCCCCCACCCTGGGGGAAAGACCTTTCACCCTTATCCATGCCTCTCATGATTTTATAAACCTCTATATGGTCACCCCTCAGCCTCCGACACTCCAGGGAAAATAGCCCCAGCTTATTCAGCCTCTCCCTGTTGCTCAAACGCTCCAACCTTGGCTACGTCCTGGTAAATCTTTTCTGAACCCTCTCAAGTTTCGCAACATCCTTCCTGTATAAGAGGGAGAGCAGAATTGAACGCAGTATAACTTTAGAACAGATTCTGTAGAGTTTGTGAGAGAGGCAAGTGGAAAACTCACTGGCAGTCCAGACCCCTAAGGGGCATAAGGCCCTCTGCTGCACTGTAAAAATATGTGAGAACTCTTACAGGAGGGCTACAGGAAGGATGTTCCCCACCAAACACCCCCCCCCACCGCCGACTAGGTAGGCCAAGTTGCAGAACCAAAGGGATGTGGAGTCAGAATTAAGGCGTCAGGGGCCATTTTAGCTTGGACATTAGGAGGGGCTTCTTCATCCAGAGGGTGGGGAATCTTGGGATCCCCTGGAGGGCCGGTGTCGCGGGGTGGGGGGTGGGGTAGCTCAGAGACCGTCGAAGGCGCGAGATGGAGCGATTGCTGCTCTCGCTAAGGTTGGAGGGGGGGGAACAAAGTTGGAAAGGCTGGTTTTCGGATCGCCGTTAGGCCTCATTGGGCGGCAGTTCGTTTCGGTTGCCCTTCTATTGTGCTACCCAACACTACCCCCCCAACCCACAACCGGGGTCTGCCAGTCTCCCAACATCCCCTTCAGCGCTGCTCGCTTGATGTGATCAGATTCCAGGTGCCCGGGTCTCTCTGGGTGTGATGGTTGGCGTTGGAGACGGCGCGTCCGTCTCTGGGTGGGTGGGCCGCGGTGATGAGTGGATTCAGAGGCGTCGAGAGGATTGGCCAAGGCCGGCCTGGGTGGGTCCAGGTCAGAGGGACTCCCCCCGTTCTCTCTCTCCGGCAGTGTGGCAACACGCCACGTCATTACTCTCCCACACCACCCTCGCACCCCCTCCCCAACCCCCTCAACTTTCTCTTGGCTGTGTTTTTGTTTTCAAGGTCCCCTTTCACCATCAATGCAACCCAACATGGTACACAACAACATGTTGTGCAATCTTCCCCTTTCTTCATCTGTGGAAACCGTCACGAGTTATCGCTCAAGATGACATGGGCCACGTCCCAGAATACCACAGAAACGGCTCCCGGTGCCAAGTGTCCCCGTCTTGACCTCTGACCTCCCTCAACACCACCCCCACCCTCTCCCACCCCACCCCGCCACCACGCCAACCGCCCCCAAGTTTACCTGGGTCAGGGTATCACACCCATTTATCGACCTCCTGAACCTACGTTCATAATCTCGATGGCCCGCATTTAGAATGGCAATGTGCCCTCACGCCACCATTGTGTCATGACACTCTCCAGCCTCTGGAGGCGCTGCAGCCGGCAGCGTGGACCCCCACCCACAACGCCTCTCCCATCCCCCCCCACCCCCACCCCCCCCCCCCCACCCCCCCCCCCCCAACAGAAGCAGGGCTTCCAGATGTGGCGTATTTCTGTCCTCAAGGGCAGGGTGTTGTGGCAGGAAGGGTAAAGTGGCAGGTCGAGCGCGCCACCTCAAAACCCATTAGGTCGACGCGCGCACTCCCGCAACACGTTCCCACGATGATTTAATCAGCCACAGCCGCGCCCATCCCCACCCCAAAACCCCCCCACTCCCGCCAACCACCACCCGCTCGACCCAACAGCTTCAGGTCAAGCCGTGGTCTCTCGTAATGGAGCAATGCCACGGGAGGTGAACAGGTGGCGTTGGACACAGGCCAGTCAACAGCTGTAACTTCACAGGGAAGGGAAGTGAGAGTTGAGAGGCCTCCTCGTGACCCGAAAAACAGCCGCATGGTCGCTTTACCATCAATCCCACCCATACCCTTCCCTGACCAATCGCCAAACTCCACCACCACGCCCGCTCCCTCGGCCGCCATCCCCAACCCAGAACCCCTCTGACACTGACGTCCATTGATGATGCCCCCTCCCCCGATGTGGGATAGAACTAACGGAGATTGCATCAATTCACAGTTCGAGTTAGGCCCCCATCCCCAAAGGTCAGAGCCCCCACACCCCACCACACCTCCACCTCCCACACAGCAAACAACCTTTGACCCCGGACTGCCCAAGCGCGCTCCCTGCGACCCCGGGTAAACCTTCTGTGGAGCTTCGTTGCCAGAAGGTTCTTCTCTCCCCTCCCCCTCACCATCCAAGTGTTAGTCTCCAAGCACCGTCAGCCATTTTGAAGGAGGGAAGAAGCCATTTTGGACCCACACAAACGGCCCTCTCTCTCTCTCTTTCTCACTGTTTTGTTATCACTTTCCCCCCCATTTTCTCCACCTTGGTGGATAAACTTCATTCGATTTGGGCCTGGCGAAGGCCGGTTGGGCCTGGCGAAGGCCGGTGGGGCCACTCTGTGGTTTTTCTTTGGCAACTTGCTGGCGCTTGGAGGTTCGTCATAACCATGGCAACTCCATGAGCAAGTGTTCCAGGAACAGGCCACAAAGAGGAATCCTTATTGCTTAATCGTTGAAAATATGCTTCAATTTTAAAACAAGGACAAACGTGTTATCATTTTTAGTCCAAGGCTCTACAACCAGTTGCCAAGGAAACTGTTGGGCATGCTCTGCACATTGACCCAAAGGCAATAAAAATGGCCACCGAACTTTTCATTGGTGCCGCAGCAAAAGAATTAATCCCACTGCCCCACTCTGTACAAATAACCCTGCGTCCACCCCAAACTGATCCCACTGCCCGCCCTCTCCCCTGCAAATGTTGTTTGGCCTAAATTTAAAACACTGCAATTACACACTGTGCTCAAACCCTCCGACAGTGCC